GGATCTTTTACTTGGTATCAGAGAAAAACACCTTTGTTTGGGTGAGAACAAGCTTTGGCCGATAGGACTTAGGTCAGGTCAAGTAAATATGTGACACTGTTGTATAGACACACCTTTCTTACATTGGACCAATAAGGAGATGTTCATGTAAATGTTGTTTAAGTTTTTGTAACCAATTATGCCTTCTGAATATTATTTTCATGATGATGGTATGACGATGTCATATTAAGTATTTAACTTCATGTATTTCCTGATTGGGCTCAGAAAGCAGTCAGCTTTGATGGGTCCTTTGGCCTAACTGTTTTCCGTATTTCATTGCAATCAAATACAAGATCTTCCTCCTCATTTTGACTTCAATCTTCTATTTTTGACTGGATATTAATTTGTATAACACTTTCCTCTTAGGGAAGGTGCTCCAACCCCCTCCTCATCCTGGTCGCCCTCCTCTGTGTTTTTTCTCGCTCCGCTGGGCCAAAGCACCACCTAGCCCCTCCCACTTTCTCAAAACACTGGTGGGCACCAGGAATGGTGTTACCCGGTGCCACGTTGGGGGACTTCTGTTTCACCAGAATTGCAGTCCCCTTCAATTCAGTGTCATCACAGGGAGGCAAGTAGAAGCCAATCCTCCCGGCTACCAGGGGTCATTTCCTGCAGGAGCGCACAGGAGCGAAGCTTTGGCAGTAAAGAGCCCAGGGGGCGCCGGGCACATGCAACAAGCCCCACCCCCGCTCCCAGCAGCCCTCAGTCAGAGCAAGAAGCAGCCAGGTCAGTTGCAGAGACCCCCCGACCCCCCGGTCCAAAACAGTCCAGGGGCACCTTGAAGCCCGAGTTTTATTCAGGTACAAGCTCTCCCTCCTCTGCAAGGACAGATCTGCGTGTCCCCCCCCCCCAATAGCTAGCAATCCAAAACAGTCCAGTGGAGCCTGAGCGGTGGGTGTTGCCTTCTGACACACTTCCGGTTATGTCAGGGGGTGTGGCATATGCAAATCATGTATGCTAATGAGTTATGCTAATGAGCTCCTGCACCTCTTTTTCTATGAAATGACCCCTGCCGGCTACCATTGGCCTTCGACCTCCAGGCCTTTCCTTTTAATCATCCTTTCGCGCCACCCTCTTCCAAATGTGTCTCTACCCCTTTTAAAAAGCACTCGTTGACAGCGTCCCTCTGACCATGTCCAAAGCGCATCTGTGTGGCCGTTGAGAACTAACTCACCTTCCTGAGTGCAGGCTTTGGCCGAAAGAGCCCTCTCTTTCCCGGACTTATAAATAGCAGAGACGGTCACCAAGTAGGTCGTGTTGGCGGCCAGGTTCTCCAGCACGGTGCTGTTCTGACTCCCATCCACCACCAACAGCTTGACCGAGTTGGCGGGCAGAGGCCCATACAGGACTTGATAGGAGGCCACGCTTTCCGGGGTGGGCAACCAGCTGACCCGGACGCTGTGTGGTTTGGACTCCGAGATGAGAACCCGGGCTGGGCTGATGACCTCTGCGGAGGAGAAGAGAGGCAGTCAAACGCTGTTTCGGGGGGTCACGCAAATGTCACCTCTCCATTTTAAAGCGCTTCAAGGTAACTTCCCAGCATATCTGGCAAAGAGAGCTTTGACTCTTGAAAACTGGTACTCTGAAAATCTTGGGGGTCTCTAAAGTGGAGGGGATTGGATTTAGAAGAAGAAGAAGAGATTGGATTTATACCCCACCCTTTACTACCCAAAGGTGTCTCAGAGCGGCTTACAAACTCCCTTCCCTTCCCCTCCCCACAACAGACACCCTGCGAGGTAGGTGGGGCCGAGAGAGCTCTGACAGAGACTGCTCTTTTTCAAGAACAACTCTTATCAGAACTACGGCTTGCCCAAGGTCATCCAGCCAGGTGCAAGTGGAGGAGTGGGGAATCAAACCCAGTTCTCCCAGATTAGAGTCCGCACACTTAACCACGACACCAAACACCACATTTATATCCTGCCCTTCCCTGTCCGAAGGAGTCTCAGAGCAGCTTACAATCTCCTTCCCTTCCTCTCCCCACAAACGGACACCCCGTGAGGTAGTTGGGGCTGAGAGAGCTCTCTCGAGGACTGCTCGTGAGAGGACAGCTCTGAGAGAACTTGTGACTGACCCAGGGTCACACCAGCAGCTGCACATGGAGGAGTGTGGAAATCAAACCCGGTTCTACCAGATTAGAGTCCGCGCTCCTAACCACTACACAAAACAAGGTGCTACTGGAATCAAATCTAACTTTCCCCAGCATGACATTGATACAACGAAACAATTTAAAGCGCGGTTAAAAATGCAACCAAAACCACCAGTACCGATGTGTTCACATTCCACCAGTGGTCTCTGAGCCTGTAAGAGTCCCTCCCACCATCCTCAGCACCATACAACAGGGAATATGAAGTCTGAGTCCAGTGTCACCTTTAAGACCGACAAAGTTTAATTCTGGGTATAAGCTTTTGTGTGCCTGCACAGGAAAGGTCATA